TTCTCCTCGTTCTCCTTATATGTAGAGCCATGATGTTGGTGGTTAGACAAACGATAATAAGTTTATTTCATGTTTACTTGGAAGAAAATGAATAGGCACTTAACTGTAGATAATTTCAAATAGTTCTGAAATTGCGGTTGAAACGGTCGAACATCTAGAAACCCGAGAAAACGTTATGCGGGTAGCAGGACCCTAAACGCCATTGGTTAGGACAAAGCCAGGTGCAAAACAACCGAATGTCGGCCGCTAGCCACAAACGAAATATCATGCGACACCTGCCCACTACGATATTTTTTTTTCTTCGCTCTGTCATTTCGGTCGTTTCTTTTTGAACGAATAACAATTTTCTATTTAATTGTTGCTAATGGAAGTGGTTTTTTTAGATAGTTAGTTCAATTTAGATAGAAAAAATTCAAAAATAGAAAAATAGTTAAAAATTTTGAAATACTCTAAATACAAAAAATGTTCATTTTTAAATTCTCCATCTATTAAAAAAAATAATACACATGGTTCCAGAAAAACAAAGAAAATTTATATTATATTTTAGAAAGTTTGGCGTAGAATTCTGAACACTCTGTATGATTTAAGATTACGATATTTATAGCTAAGTAAAAAAAAACTATTTAGACAGATAGTCAAAGAATTAATGTAGTTGTCTTAAATTTTGTTTTAAAATATCAGCCTTCGTATGAACATTGCTATTTGTTATTCCATTAATGGATTAATGACAAAACCAAAAACATCGTACTCTATTTTTTACCGACAATTCTTTGCATTTTATAATAGAAAAATGGATACTCAAAAAATAATCTATACTTAGTATAATACTTCCAAAAGAAACATGATAATGACTATCGTCTGTATCAGCAATAATTAGTTAATTCTACATAGTATCAAATTAGAGAAAAACAATATGAAAATATTTAAATATCTCTTTGTTTTATTTGAATTTCTTAGGAATGATATATTTTTCAACTTATTTTTCTATAGCTTACTTTTTTCCGGCTACTACTAAACACAAATATACTAAACACTGTCTGAACAAATGTTATATTGTGATCTTTATTTACATATGTATATTAACTATTACTTAATACTTAATCAGACTATCATAAAATCTCTTAAAACTTCTATTATAGTACTGTATCAAAGCAATCATGCATTATTTTAGTGCTATATTATATTTAGTTTCTTAGAAATTATAGGTTTATTTACATTGATAAAAGTGAAGAAACAGTTTTACAAAGATTCTGAAACCTTTTTGACAAATTCAAACAATTTTATTAAAGCTCTGTCAAATAGAACTGTAAACAATCCAACGTTTTATTTACATTTGGCTTGTATATGTTGGGTCAAACTGAATCAATGTATATGTTTACTATGATTATAACCATATCGTCAACTGTCAAATTTAGGGGTAGTTAGTTTGCTGATTTGCAGATACTTTCAACAATAATTAAATATACAGAAAAACTCATTCTTCTACGTACAAAATTCTTAAACACACTGTATATACTGAACTGACACATCACAACCTATATTGATTTTTATCTTAACCATTATGATAATTATTCAATTTCAAAGGAATTTTATATCAGAAAGTTGAATTGTTTAATTACTGTTGTAAACAAATTGATGAGCTCGCAGCAGAAACGAACTTAATTCAAATTAATTAAAAGGTAAATATAATTTTTTAATGAAGTTATATTAATTATGTATACATATTAGGTTGCACCAAAAAAAAAATTTTTTCCTTTTAATTACCGTGAAAATATCGTTCACGATGATGAAAAAAAATTCTGGTAAAGTTTGAGATCTTAATATTAATATTAACGGGTGTCTCATCGTGATTTTCTATTTCTCATTTAAATAACATGTGGATTTCTTTTTTAATTTTTTAAATTTTAAATGCAAAAATTGTCATAGTCAAATTCGATGTTACATTTTGTTTACAAGAATTTGTGTGGTTTGAAAAGGCTGGTTTTGAGGCTGGTTATTTTTTTTCTAAATTCGAATAATCATCTACAAAAGAATTAGTTGAGAATAGTATTCACGGTGTATGATTTTCTCTATGACAAAATCACATTTATGATGGTATTTTAATTGTAGCTTTCTCTGGGCCGTATTATAAAATTTTACTAATTTGAAGGTGGATTTTTGCAAATAACTTTTAAATGGCTATTCAAAATGAAACGAAATTCAAGACAAAAGTACAACCTTAACGCCTCTTCCAAAATGTCTAATACAACTTTTGCATAAAATTAGCTGGAGAGATAATATTTCACCTTCTCAAAATTTTCATGAGATTTCTTATCTCCCGTGTCCCGATGCCCACCACACGGTATAGAATTTTGATCCCTATTTTCGAAACGTATAACATGCTAAATTAGAACATTATATATAAGCACCCTGTCTCCCCCCGAAAACGATTTAATTAGAACTATGGCCGCCGGAAGAGCCTTTCCACGTCACCAAGACGTCTGCAGACGACGGACGCGACGCATTTAATATTAATCGTCATCAAACATTGAAGGAACAAGCCTGAGGAAGAGGCCCACAGCGCCACCTACGCCACGTAATTATCCTGAGTTATTAATGGCGACGTTGTATCAACAGAGGGAGCTAATAGTATCGGCGACCTCTAGCGACAATAACAAACATAATGACGTAGTAACCGGAGCTGATTTGCCAAATCAATTAAAGGGAGTTGATTATTAATGGGGAGGAAGGTTGGAATTAATAATTAAAAGAGTTAATTTCCAACGTAAATGTATATCAGTTTTACAGTTCTGAAATGTCAAATTTCTGCTGCTTGCTTTTTAAATATCTTGTGATCCTCTTTTGATCTCTAGAGCATTACAGCCATATCCTTAACCAAGAATCTCCAACCCCCATATGGAAGCACTCAACATATATGTGCTCTACCCCAATATGGAAGCACTCAACATAATACCTCAGTATAACAGCCTCGATGTATTAGACATTCCAGTAACAGAACAGGAAATAAAGGACTCCATAAAACAGCTTAAAAACAACAAATCAGCTGTCTGTGACGCGATTCCGGCGGAATAAGTTTGACAAGTAAAGAGCTTATTGGTCATCTTAAGGCTCTCCTTGATGTCATATGGGAAAGCGGAGAGGTACCTCAGGACTTTTGCAATGCGAATATAGTGAATATATTTAAGAACAAAGGAAGTGCATCAGACTGCGGAAACTACCGAGGAATTTCACTACTGGCTATCGGAGGAAAAATTCTTGCAAAAATTATGTGAAACCGCCTGCACCCACATATAGAAAAAATCCTCCCAGAATCGCAAACGGGTTTTCGCACCAACCGCGGTACCATCGATTCCATATTCTCCATCCGGCAACTACAGGAAAAAGTAAAAGAGCAGCAGTCTAAACTTTACGTTGCATTCATCGATCTAACAAAAGCCTGTGAACAGAGATGCACTTTGGGCAATTATGAAAAAGTTCGGAGTACCCATCAAATTTCTTACAGTGTGTAAAAGCCTCCATAACAACAACAAATCAAGAGTGTCATATCATGGATCACTGGGCGATCCCTTCCTAACAAACACAGGTGTTAGGCAGGGATGTGTCTTAGCACCTCTCCTATTCAATATATTCATGGCAGCGTTCTCCATTATAGTGGACAGCAAACTGCAGGAGAGAGGTTTGGGCATTAGATACAGATACGACGGCGGTCTGTTCAACATAAAAAGACTCAGGGCAAAAACACGTACAAAATTCATCACAGAACTTCAATACGCTGATGACTGTGCTCTAGTTGCAAATACGTTACAGCAATTGCAAGAAATGTTGAACACATATACATGGGCATACGAGGCCTTGGGACTTAAGCTGAACATCGATAAAACAAAAATCATGTGCATTCCCCCGGAAGATCACAACAATACTATAAAAATCGGAGATGAGCTGTTGGAATATCTAGCGGAATTCAATTACCTCGGCAGTTTAATTTCGGAAAAGGCCAATATCGACTCTGAAATTCAGCACAGGATTAGAAGCGCCTCAAGAGCATTTTGGAAACAACTTTATTAAAAGACAGGGTTTTCTACAATCATGACTTGAGCACAAAAACGAAACTTGCGGTGTACCGAGCGATAATAATTCCCACCATGTTATATGGAAGCGAAACCTGGTTGCCGTACCGTCGACACATGAACGCATTAAACAAGTTGCAACAGAGACATCTTAGACAATTCTTAAGAATAAAATGGTTCCATCATGTCTCAAACATATCGGTCCTTGAAAAAGCTAACTGCGAGAGTATTAAAGTCATGATTACAAAGTCCCGCTTAAGATGGGCTGGTCACGTATGCAGAATGCAAGAAAACCGCATACCAAAATCTCTGCTTTACGGTGAGCTTGTAGACGGTAAGAGGAGGCCGGGTGGACAACTCAAAAGGTTCATGGATATTTTCCACGAAAACTTAAAGGGAATTAACAAGCAGAATGAGTGGAAAGAGGCAGCTCACAATATAACAGAATGGAGAAGAATTGTAAATTCAGTTACAACCAAAAAGTAAAGAGGCAACAAAACAATGAGATTTTTGAATGTCTGGAGTGCGGTAGACAGATAACATCACGTATCGGGCTTTTAAGTCACAGGAAGGCTCATGAAAGAAAACGCCTTGCGTGACCATCTTCTGATGCGTGTCAAATACTCGTCAGCGAGTAATGGCGGTATGTTTTTTTATATGTAATTTACATTCTCCAGTGCTACTACTACTGCCTATGGATACCTGATATAGGTATCCAGAGGAGGAGGAGATATGATGCTACCGAAAGGTGGCACCATCCACATAACGTACCAACAACTACAAGGTAGCATATTTCACATTTTATTCAATTTCAAGTGTCAAATTTGTTAGAAATTTTCTTGTGCTACTAATGTGTTTCAGATTCAAAACCTATATATAATGTTTGTTATATATAGTGTTTTCACCTATATATAGTGTTTTCAATAATCTTACCTCGTTCTTCAATTGTCCATTATCAGCAGCCGCACTCCGCAAGTCTCCCTTCAACGTTTCCACTTCCATCTTCAGGATACTGAGATCGGCTTCCTGCTGCGCGTTCCTCACGCGCATCCTCTCCAGTTCCTCGTTCAAATTCGAGATGTCGCTCTTGAACAGCTTCATCTTGCTCTCGTGCCGCTCCCTGTCGCTGAGCAGTACCGAGCCGTTGAGGGTGGTTTGGAGCTCGGATATTTCCGACTTCACCTCGTAGAGGGCGTTGGACAGCCATTTGAGGGTGAGTTTGTCGTTTTTGGTTTGGGGAGGGGGTGTGGGTGGTACTCCGGAACGAAGTTGTTCGATTTCTAATCTGAAAATGAAATAAGGCAGTCGATTATTAATTATAACAGTTTAACTTCGACTACATTCCGTTTTATGACTCTGAAGATTTCGACAGACGATGAGAGAAAAAAGTCATGTCCTCCATACAAATCCATTTATTTCACTAAAAAAAGTTTCTAATATTTTTAAATTAACCATGGATGGGTTTATATACACGTTGGTCCGAACTGTATTCCGGAAACTTCGGCAGCATATTCTGCAGATAAAAATAAGTAAAAAAGTTCGTATAAAAGTATGCCCTAAAATGCTTAGTTTCGGAAATACAGGGTGTAGAAGTTTCAGTTTTATTTCAATTTTTTCCAAATAATTTATGAAGTAACATGAATATTTGGATGAAAATTGGCGTCTGGGAGTTTTTTGAGATGATAAATTTGATTTTGATGTCAATATAACTCCTGCTTGTAGAGGGCGCCACCTACATATTTTTTAACTGGTTTCAATGATAATAACTTTTCGTCCGTACCTGTATAAAACTACTGATTAAAAAAATATACATTTATTACGTTTTTACGTAAAAAAGGTCTCTTGATAAAAATCGCTAATGGTTCTCGAAATATTTGGAATCTAAATTATCAATACATGTCAATATTGAACGATATGAAGAACCGAACATGTTGACTAGATAGTTATTAGACTGAAATAATAAATTTAAAATATGTAGGTGCCAAATGTTCAACAGAAACTGTTTTATCATCATTTTTTCGCAGAAAAATTTATGATTAATTTAAAAAAAAAATTCTCAAATTTATTATTTCAGGTCAAATAACTATCTACTCAACGTGTTTATTTTTAGTCAATAATGGTAAGTATTGACTATTCCCATTCTAAATATCTAGAGAACGGTTGCTTGTAACGATTTTTACTAAGAGACATTTTTTACGTAAAAAATCACAGGAATGTATATTTTTACACTCAGTCGTTTTATACAGGTACGGAAGAAAAGTATTACGCTTCAAAACAGTTAAAACACATGTAGGTGGCGCCCTCTACAAGTCGGAGTCATATGGACGTCAAAATTAAATTCCTTATGTCGAAAAACACCCAGACACCAATTTTTATCTAAATATTGACATCACTTCAGAAATTATTTGGATAAAATCGAAATAAAAATGAAACTTCTACACCCTGTATCTCCGAATGAAAGCATTTTAGGACACTCATTTATACGAACTTTTGTACTTATTTTTATCTGCAGAATATGCTTCTGAAGTTTCCGGTATACAATTCGGACCACCCTGTATAATTCCGTCATGGCATCGTCTCTTGTCGTTTTTAACCAGTCTTTAGAATTTAGAATAAGTGGGAGGGGGGTTAATCTCTGCGACCTTAGAGATCTATTGTGTCCCCCTTTCTTGAGTTATAACTCATCATACAGTCCCAGGACTTCCTACGGAGACCCGTGTCCTTCACAGTCGAGGAGCTACGACCCAGGCCGGGTAGACGAAACGGTAGAGGTAGGAGGCTCCCGACCCTTGGAGGAGGTGGTAACTTGTACGCCACTTGCGGAGGATGGTCTCACGCAAGTGTCAGCCACCTCTCCTGTAGTTCTCTTTGGGTTTGGCCCCTTGAAACTTTCATTGTTACTGTTCCCAGTGTCGCTAGGGGGTTTCCCCACAGCTTCACCCGGTGATGTTTTTATTACTATTATTAGCAGATCTCATAATGTTCCCATGAGTAGCTAGGGACTTTTACCAGTCTGATTGGTTTACTTCAAAAGTGACAGATCATATTTCAATATGATTGGAGTGACGGAACGATGAACGACACATGGATGCAGATGCGTACAAACTCTACTTAAAATTATTAAAACTTGTCAAACTCTTTCAAAAAGAACAAAAGCCAGAAGACGTCTATGTCAAATAACTCGCGTTCTGGAAAATGATAAATATTTGCGATATTGATTTTGCATTTTGGTTAATGTTGTTCGTGTGTTTTGTGTCTTTTAGAGTTAAGTGGAGGAAAAATCGAGTGAAAAGTAAGTGTAGACCCAGAAAGTTGTATTAGCCACCAATGAAGTTTGTATCAACATCATTTTCAGCTTATTCAACCATTTCCAATTATGGTGTAGCCTCCCTCACATATTTAGATACTAGTCTATTGTTAGAGATTAGTCTATTGTTGGCTGTTTGGGCCCAAGTTAATTTCCTAATATCATGGCCCATCTCAGGTTCGGTCTTCTTCTCGGTCTCTTAATTACTCGTGGGTACCATGCTGTAATCTGTTGTCCGTCCTTCTTGCCAGGTGTTTTGCCCATTGCCACTTGAGGGATTCTATAGGGTGGATGACATCTATTACCTGGGTCTTTTGTCGTGTCCACTCTATTCTTTTACGGTCTCTCTTGGTTATTTCCAGCATATTTCATTCCATTGGGCGTTGTGCGACCTGCAGTTTCCTTATGTTGTTCGTTTTAAGTGTCCCGGTTTCGCATGCATAGGTCATCACTGGTAGTACACATTGGTCGAATGTTTTCTTCTTTACATAGAGTGGCATCCTAGCTTTGAATATTATTGAGTTTCTTCCATAAGTACTCTATGCTAACTTAATTCTTCTGTTGATTTCTGGTAGTAGAGATGCCGAGCTGTGTATTAGTTGTCCCAAATATATGTATGTATTCTTCTATTATTTCCAGTATTGTTTTATTTATTAGAATGTCTTTTCTGTCCACTATGTAGTACGTTCCACATTACTTTAGTTTTTGCTAAGTTCATTTTGAGATCCACTTTATTGTTGGTGGTGTTGAGATTTGAACACCGGTGTTAGGTGTTGATGACCACCGGTGTTTCAGTGTTTCATCGGTGTTTATCTCGACACCGGTGTTTATCTCGACATCGGTGTTTATCTGAACACCGATGTTTACCTCAGCACCGGTATCGCGATGAACACCGGTGTCTAGATCAACACCGGTCTCGGTGTCGATGTCGATGGTGCCATTTGTTTGTCTTTTTTTTAGTTTTTTTTAATGTAATATTTTTTACTTTATTTTACAGCTACAGAGTTTTTGTTTCTTTATGTTTTGTTTTGTTTTCTGTTGTGTTTGTGATTAAACAATTTTTACTTTATAGTTGTTTATCTCATGCTTCCACTTTATTTTAGTGATTGGTCTGGCAAAAAGTATATTTAAATTTGAAAGCTTTAAGTTAAAGTCTGTGCGCTTTAATAAACGATAAAAATAAGCACCGATACGACACTATTATTATCAGGGTTTATTTTCAACTTATTAATTAACATTATTTCTTGTTTAACCCGTTTACCAAACACTGGTGTCGTAGTCAAAACCGGTATCGAGATGAACACCGGTGTCTAGACCAACACCACTGTTGATATGAACACCGGTGTCGGTATCAACACCGGTGTCGGAGCCAACACCGGTGTCGGTGTAGACACCGGAACACCGGTACACCGGATAGTCCATATTTCACCACGGATGTCAGCCCAACACCGGTGTTGAAACGGTGTTTGGAACAGGCCTAGTATTTAGTTCGTAAATTTGTGCTTGTAGTTCTTCAGGACTATTGACAATTAGGACTATGTTACCAACGAATTTTAGATAGTTAATATATTTTCCATCTATTTGTAATCCTTTGTTGCTCCAGTCCAGTTAAAGGAAGATTTCTTATAATGTTGTGAACAGCTTTGGGGATATCGCGTCTCCCTGTCGTACTCCTTTGCCAGTGGGGAAATCTAGGGTTGTTTTATGGTATCATTACTCGTGCTTTGGCTTCTTGGTGGCGAGAGTTTCTATACAGGGTGTACCAGAAATAAGTGCAAATATTTTAAGGGGTGGTAGATCTGGCCAAAAGAAACATTTTTTTCTCTTTACCGTTTTTCAAATAAGTCCAAAATAACCGAGTTATTTTACTTTGAAAATTTCCAATAAAAATCATTTTTTGCTAAAATTTTGAGAACCACTGGATCTTTTCTGGATTTTCTTTCATGTAAATTTAAGCTACTACCTATGTTGCCATATTATCAAGAAATTATGTTTGTTAACTTAAAATTAAAAAATATTCCAAATTTTTTTTTTCAAAAAATTCCAAATTTTCAAATTATTTTTTTTGCAAAAAATACCTCATGGGCGTGTTTCTGAGGCCGAAATATACTACCAGTTAAAATATTTGCACTTATTTTTGGGACACCCTGTATAAGGCTTGTCAATACCTTGTTTTGCTAGGGCTTCTATTATTGCTTTAGGATACATCGAATCGAAAGACTTCTCAAAGTCTATAAAGTCTAGGGCTAGTGGAAGTTCGTATTCTTTTGTTCGGCTGATAGTTTATTAGGCTCTTAGTGTATTATGTTTATTTTTTTGGATCGTTCTATAGCAGCATATTTGAAGTATTTAATTGACCATATCGTATATATTGTTGCAACATTTTCAATACAATTTTTTCCACAAAAAGCAAAATGATTAATATTTAAATATTTTTTTCGTATGTGGATGAAGTCCAAAATATAAAATTGGGTCAAACGCGAACTGGCTATTTTTTCGAAATGCATAAATTACAAAAAATGCCGTGTATAAATTATAACAGTAGATGTATTTTAAATACACAAATTTACAGCTCCCTGCTTTAAATTGTGTTTTCTGCTTACTACACCGTAATTAATGGTATCGACGCGCAATATTTGAATTTATAATTGAATTTTACGTTGTTTGTATGCTGAAATTGCCTATTGATATTTTTAAAAATATTTGCTTTTTTAACAAAATATAAAAAATACAGTTTTTCATCATTTAGTTTATTAAACTTTTTTTTGTCAGTAATAATCAAAATCCAATTTATGTTACTATTCAATTTGATGCTGTCGGTATTTCAGATTCAGACAAATATTCAAAATATTTTGCTCATGTAAGACAGAGGTATTTTTTGCGGTATTGGCACCATATAAAAAAAGATTAAGAACGATATTGAAACTATAAGGATTTTGGACTTTCATTACCTTTATTTACTTTTACTTATACAAAGT